TATCATCAAAGAGAATATTTTTTAACTTTTAATATTAAGGATTGAATTCCGTTATAACAAAGCAAACAATTTTGAATTTGTGAAAATTGCTTTACCGAAGAACGAAAGTGTAGTTGCTAATATATTAATAATACAAGCTAACTTTCTGCGTAGGTTCCGATGTTGAAGTGTAATGTGGTGGAGAATCAGAAACATCATGAATCGATGTTGCGACAAGTTTATTTGTGGTAACCTGAAAAGAAACTAATACTCTTCTACAAAATGATTAACTAAATTTAACTTTCTGTACACTCATGTTTTACAGGAAATATCGCTGCAGTGATGCCTCTTTCTTGAAATTATTAAGGACTAAATTTAAATTAATAATATCTTTGTTATAATAATAGACTGATGTTCGATGAAAGTTGGAACGGACAGGAAATGGAGTCATAAGGTTGCTGAGTAACGCAAATTCAAGACACAGATCTTCTCGGAGGATCAGTTTAAACAAATTCAAAATCAATAGATCTTTTTCATCCATCGTATTACTGCAGGAAAAGATATAAGCTACCTATTACCAACTGAATAATTCATCAATATTATCTCACAATTCTATTTAAACTAAAAAAATTTGCAAAATATTTCGAAGATGTTAAAAAAATTGAACTTACCGGAACATTTCTTTCAATGTCATTCAATATTTCAATTGACGAATCTGTGGTACTGATGTGAATAGAATCTTCACTCGAGCTATTTGGTGCAGTTATATCTTCAATTTCATTTGATGATTTCTTCAACGTAGGTATGTTTTCCTTTTCGACCAGAAATGACGAGCAATTATTATCACTAACAACTTCGGTTTCCATTGAAGCGGTATATTTAGCACTAAAAAAGATGAAATAATTCATGCAGATTGCTTATCCTTATTGCAACTAATCTGTATTAATTCGAATTCTCTTTACAGACATCATATTCAGTGTAAAGATAACCCCATTCAGAAACATATTTCCTTATTCGAAGATATTTCCCGCATTTTTCAACCGCATTCTGTAAATTCAAAATATCTGTTAAATATACCTGGTTAACACGTTCGACGGAAAGATTTTTTGCACTCCTTTTATTTTAGAATCATCGCTTGTGCTAAATATATCGCTTGAGTTGCAGCTATTCGTCTATAATATTCAAATTTGATTTCATTCATTGATTTACTTAACTAAAAAAGATTTTCAAGAGAGGATAACAGATTAAAGAAAATGTAGCACGGAATTTATTTCTTAAAAGAAAGTTGAATTCTGATAACGAAACTGCTTTCTTTGTCAGAGTTGCCGTTTAATTTCGAGCAGTAATATGTATACTATTTTCTAGATTTTCAGGAAGCAACTAAACAGTACACCATTTGTTCTGCAAAATTCATCTGTTAGTTCTCTTTATCTGATCCAATAATGATGAAGAATTGAAAGCATAATTTATCCTCAAATATCTGCTTTTGAATCTCATGAAGAAACATCATAAGTAATAGTCCGCCTACTTTTTTTTCCTTCAACAATTCTGCTTCATTATTTGCCGAGTTTCGTTTACTGATATTCATATTACTAGTGCCCTCCGCTGTGTTCACTTGCATTGGACTAGCAGGCTCTTTATCATCAGTTAAAGGACTCTTCATTTTCGACTTATTTACAATCTGACCAGTATTACCCCATATAATTTTTCGCTTCTGTAAAGATAATAGATAATGTCTGCACATATTAATGTTTCTAGAGAAGACAGAGAGTTGAAAATTCTGAAAAGAATGATGCGGCATCTGATTTAATAGCCACAGATATAATTATTTTTGAAATCATTACTAGAAATTTTGGGATGCAATAGCTTTTCAACACAGATCTGAATAGAAAACAAAAGATGCTAAATAACACCTCATAAAGATTCTTCGCTACAGTAATCTGCCGACCACTTTTTTTCTTTTTTTCGAGTTCTAAAGGTGAAACTGCAATGAAAATTCACCATTACTTCCTCAATTTCCATGCATATTGTTTCCATTATTATGTAGCATTGACTTCATTTAGGGGCTACTTCTAAACCTATTTTAGTAATTTAATAGTTTTATTTGAATTTGATTTGCTTGAATATAATTATTAAAATAAATATAAAAAACCAAAGTAATAAATGAAAAATCATCTTTCTTCAATTAGTTCGAATGGTAATCGTTGATGTGAAATTAATGAAACATAGTAACAGTGTTCAAAGGGGAACTAACCCACAGCACTACTGAGTATACTGCGACTTCGATCAACTCCTCCAATCAAGTGAAGATCTAAAATTTTTTGTTCTATATAAATTATATAACTATACTTGAAGTTTGCAATTGCAAAGCCGAACTACATATTTATTGTAGGATTCAGTAATATGTATTCAGCATTGCAATTGCAAATTTCAAAGTTGAAGGAATCTCTTTCTTCTAATAGAGAAAAGATGTCAAATATATCACATCACTTACTTTTTTCATTACTGGTGGAAATGCTGTTTGTTGCAGATAACTTTGGTTCCTTTTCATCCGAAAATAATACAACATTCTGGAAAACATTAGTAAAAGTGACCTAATGTGGTCAATTTAAGAAAATTTTACTCTTCACTTCCATTTGCATTTACTGCTAATACCGTAAAACTTTGAAAGAAACACCTCAACTGATTCCTTATCATCCCCATTCGTGATATCAAATCTAGTGGTGATAAGAAACATCCTTTGCAAATTATAAACTGATAAATTACTGTCAACCTTTTCTTACATTCAATTACATTTTCCGTACTTTTTCCAGTCTTATTCTTACATTAGATTGCCTTGTCCCAGTGAAATTTCAGCGTTTTAAAGGATAGGAATAGTTTTTAAGTTTTTTTGCGAATGTTTTTGTCTATTTCCTTCTCTCTTTTTCTCCCTCTTCCCATCCATTTCTTTTATTCTTCCACCCATTTTATGAACTGGTGACTTTATGAATCTCAACCTGTCTTAAACAGAGAAACAACAGAAAAAATTTTTCCTTTACCAACTGAAAAATTCCATTACTGTTCCAGCTAGAGAATACGCTTGTTTCTATTTTGTTTTGCAGCTGATATAGTATTATTGATAAAAACGCTTACATCCAAATAGAAAATTGAATTAAATTCAGAAAAGACATGCTTCATGAATATGCGATAATTTGTCGAAACAATTTGATTGAAATATGTGATCCCGTCGTTCGGCAGCAAATACACGAGGGGTTGAAGTGATCGGTCCTGGCTCTCTCTGCTTTATCTTTCCGATTGGTGATATCAGATCCAGCGATGATAACAAGCAGCCACTAGCAGAAGGAAAATTTTCATTCTTTACTTGTTGTTCGACTTTTCTCACTAACATGTCATCATTCGATGACATCTAAAATTCAAAAAAAAGTTGGTGCATAGCTGATGAAAAAGATATGTCGAACATTTCCCAGTGCTGACAGATTTTTTATTCACAGTAACCCGTTTGACAACATAAGAACTTGGACACAAATGATACGTACTGCGAGATATAACTTGACCTACGACACTATTATATTCTCTCTCTCATGAAAATCTACTGTAAGGCAAGCAAACATCAGTGTTAAAATTCACTAAATCAAAAAGAAACAAAACGGCTGGAATAAAAGGCAAACAAAATGACATTATAAAAAATTAAGTATGCAAATGAATGATAAGCAATAACTACGGGCACATTAGATGACGTAAACCTGTATATATGAGGAATAATTAGAAAAGTAGTAATCACGTTCGTAAGTGGTACCTCTAACTGATGTACTACCGCGTAACCGCGAAATACCGGACTACGACAGGGAGAATATCTTTATTAGGTGATGCATTGGCATGTTGGTACGCTGTAGGGTGGTTCTTTGCACCACTGCTCGACTTATCAGGTTACAGGAATTGACGTCTCTGCGTGAGGTTAAATAAACGTACACGCTACACGCTGACAGATTAGCGAACATAGCAGTAGCTTAGATAGTATAATCTGAAGAACTTCTTTAAGCAATTCAAGCATACAGCCTAGCTAGCTAGCAACAAAATTCAAAAAATGAAATTCAGCTAGACAAAAGCAACGAAGAAGTAATTGCCTTTTTTGTATGTCTAAAAAAAAAGAAAGAAAATTGCATAGGTATGTATCCTGTTGTTCACATTCTTTCAGCTAAAGCTTTTAAGAATAGGCTGACTAGCAAATGTTTGCTTAACCGAATTTCTTCATATAAACAAAGATATAAGTTTTGACATGCAAACATTTCTTTCACTATATATTTTAAAATTACAAAATAGAAATGTTTTCAGATTTTTAACATTTCTAGAGATAAGATCAGCATTTCTTTCTCTAACAAATCCATGAATAAGAAATTGAAAGAAAAAAAGTTGAGCCTTCTTTATCAATGACACTACCATAACAGTTGCAGTTATATATTTCACTAATGGAATCTACCTGAGCAACTTAGTTCCATCTGAAACATTCCATTATCGATCATATTTTTCATTATCAGTCATATTTTTCCTGTCTTATCGAACAGCACCAAATATCTTAAAACATTTGGAACCCTTTACACCAATTTTAATCTCGGATTATTCTTTCCACAATGACTCTACCAGAGAAAGGGCAATATACATTAAGTATGACGCAGTTTGCGGTAAGGATTCTCGAGAATTTAACTCAGTTATGTTTATTGACTAGCATTCATTGCGATTATGCTAGTAATTCCGTTTATGATTATGCTAATAATTTTAAGCATCAGAAAACGTGGTACTTACGGAACACGTTGTTTATCTTTATAATAGCTCGCACTTGTTTTCATTTGAATGCAGATTATTCAATTATTCGATCTAAGTATCATTAGTAACTGAATAATTCAGATGCGATTTTTTTTTTCTATCGTTAGTGATACATAGTTTGCGCCGATTACTGATATTGTCATTTGTTTTAAATTGCATTTGTAAAAACGCATCTTGTTTTTAGATCTCGAATAGACGAAATGTCGGAAGACACTTCCGGACACACGATGGATGGTGGTAACAGCAAGGTCTGAGTTTCTTCATTAAGCTTGCATGTTTATATTTCTTTAGGTTCCTTAATTATGTATTATAAATCTGTTTCTCTTTGGATTTGGAACCCATTAATTGAATAATGTTATTTGAAGTTCCCAGAAGTGAGTTTTGAAATTATCTTTTGTTATTTAAATATGGAGGGTTTGCCTTATTTTATATATTTTAATCTAGAAATTCATTATTATTTATTATGTATGCACTTAAAAGTATTTTTCAAGAATGTTTTTGCAGAAGACTGTATTTGGTGTGGTTTTTTTTGAAACTAGTTTAAGAATATTTCCTGTTCTCCTTACTAAGTTGAGAAATTTTCCTGTTTTCTTTAGAATTTTAAAGTTTGTAAATCAGTTGTCGTAGTTCTTCTCCGTCCCTCATTCTTATTTATTTAAAGGAAAACCTCATCCTCCTTGCGAAAGAATACATAACAAGGAAGAAGCTAACTAGAAAACAGTAGTTGCTAACTTTATCTGTTCCTTATTCAAATCTTTATATAGGAGCATCTGTTTGTATTACACTTTTGTAAAATAAGCATTCCAGATGATACGTCGACTAGTGTCCACTCGTTTGGAAGATATTCGAGATGGTTTTGAAGAAGAGCTTCAAGAAACGAAACCGATGAAAAAACCAGTTCAAAATAGTGAAAAGCTGACTGACAGTGAGGATGAATACGAAGTTCCCGCTAAAATAGTTAGCTTTAGGAAAATTCCAACTTGTTGACTTCTGTAAAAAAGTAAATTAGAGATTTTTCATAAACAGCTTTTTTTTTTCGGCACGTTATCTTAAAATCTCATACATTCTTGACATTTCTTTAAAGCAAGAATTCGTTTATTCCTCAAACTTATATATATATATAATGCTTTTAAGAGTTATTTATTAGCCTAAATTGCTACAGCAATGATTTCTTCATAACAGCAAGGAAGGAATGAGATTTTACCAAAAAGTAGTTTGTTGCAAACTACTTTTAGACCAATACCTTCCAATTTGTTCAACTCTGAAAATCGTAATTCTTGGTTATCACTATTTTCATAGACTTCGTACCTGAAATGACAATTCTTCTCTGATGTTTCGCTCCTTTTATTCGGGTTAGAAAAATATATCTCATCGGTGCTTCCTTTGTTTAAAATGTAATTCACGAAACATTTTAGCCAAAGCAAACTTATGAAAACAGAGGAGCAGCACTGTTAGCTAAAATGGGATATGATGGTGGTGGGCTTGGTAAGAGCGGCCAAGGACGCACAGAACTGATACCATTCTCCACGCAACGAGGTCGCGAAGGTTTCGGACAGCCTGCGAATCAGGTGATCAAGAATTGATTTTCTTCGTACATCCACAATATAAGACCTTATTTTTGGCATAAAAAATTTGTAGTAATTGTTTGAATCAAAAAAAAAAAAAAAACCTGACTTATTACTGATTAAAATTGTTCGGTTCTCACTTTAATCTAAAATAAATAATTGCTCATTCATTTTTAGAAAATTGCTCGAGATTGGAATGTAGTTTGGGATTTTGCGGAAGAAGAAAAACCTGTGGAAGAAAATGTATTGTGGTTATCTGCTCCTAATGATATTCGAGAGAAGTTCACAAAAGATTTGCAAGATCAAGACGACTGGATTATTATTGGAAACGTAAGTCTACTTTTTATAAAGTGAATGAAAGATGGAAATAAGTCAATTAGAAAGAATTTACAGTTTTAAGTCTTTTTGAATTTCATAAAATTTTATGCCATATATTCTAGCGAAAAGAGACACTGGATGGCGAATACAAATATTGTGACAGCAATTTGATGAAAAAAATGTTGGATGCAAAATCTGTTTTTGATGAACTTGATATTAGAGACTTAAAAGAGGCCCGTATTCGAGCAAACCCATATGAGACAATTGGTTCTGCTTTCTTCCAGAATCGGTAAATCATTTAATTGCAAAAGTTATTAACACAGGATATCATCCTTTCGTTTTGCAGTAAATAAATAGTGCCGTAAATATTGCAACATTCTATATTAAGTCTTGTTATGCGAATAGCAGTGCTTTTCATTCTCTGACTTCTCTGTTTTTTTTTTTTTTTTTTTTTTTTTTTTTTTTGGTGAACCCTGATTGACGCTAAAATTTTTTTTCCAAGTTCTCTTCTTTTTTGCGTGTGAAGAAGTCTGTCTCAATCTTTTTGATACAATTAAAATCATCTAGAAGGATTTATATAAATCATCTGTCATATTTCAAAATTGTTGAATTCTTTTTAGAAAATATATTTTTTTAAGGGCAGCGATGAAAATGGCAAATTTAGATCGTATTTATGACTGGTTATTAACGGGTGAAAAACCAGATAATGTTGAAATCAAAAATCCTATGAATGTGGAAATAAAAAATGAGAAATGTCGAATAGCAACTCCAGGAAAGAATGCTGGTCGATTATCGCCTTTGTTTTATTTTGCTGACATATGCGCTGGTCCTGGTGGATTCACAGAATATGTGTTATGGAGAAAGGGTTACTATAACGCAAGAGGTTTTGGAATGACGTTAAAAGTTGAGAATTTTTTGAATTTTTTTCAATATATTTCTAGTCTAAAATGTGTTAGGCAACTGTGATCATAATGCTTAGTCGCAAATGTTGGGAAATGTATGGTGAATCGGAAAAAAATAAATGTTGCTGGAATTCTTTGATAGATTTTAAAGAAATCAGAATGGGAGAAATAAATTATTTTTATTCATTAAATAAGGAAAACATAATGGAGATTGTTTCGTAGAATAATTTTTCTCTTTACAGGAAAAGATGATTTCAAATTGAAACGTTTCACAGCCGCTTCACCTTCCTATTTCGAGCCTTATTATGGTAAACACAACGATGGTGATATCACCAAGCCAGACAATATCACCTCTTTTGAAGATGTTAGTTCATATTTGGTCATGTAAGGAAGAAAAATTATGAATATTGGTGATAGTTTCGGTAGTTCATATCATTTTGCAGAATCCGACGTCATTTTCTGGTTTGAAATCATTGGTTTAGTTCCGAGTAACTTAGTTTAATTTAAATTACTCAGATTGTGAAACGCGGTACCAATAATGTTGGTGTGGATTTAGTTATGGCTGACGGTGGCTTTTGTGTCGATCAACAAGAAAATATTCAGGCAAAATTTTTTAATCTTTAAATCTTAATAATTCCGCGACAAACTGCAACTGCAAGTTGTTAGTTGTACTCCTTGGATTTGTTGTAAGTATATTTTTATGAAATTTCTTGTAATTTAACTTGAGGATTTTTTTTGAAGGGATCTATGTGAAACTCAACTCTATACTTACTAAAAATTTGTAAGTTTCTTTTCAGGAAATTTTATCAAAACGTCTTTATTTATGTCAATTTTTGACTGGCCTCTCAGTTCTGCGTGTGAAAAACCATGATACAGGAAGTGGTGGGAAATTTGTTTGTAAATTATTCGACATTTTCACACCATTTAGTATCGGCCTTATCTATTTGATGTATATTGTATTTGAAAGAATATCAATACACAAACCTAACACTAGTCGTCCAGCTAATTCGGAAAGGTTGCTTCTTTCTTTGTTTTAGCATTTAAATTTTACATTTGCTCATGATACTATGTTTTGGTGGTATCAAGGGTGTGATTGGAATCACGCAAAATGTATTGTTGATCTGCTTAAATATTCGAGTAATATAGTAATAATGACATCACAAGTTTGCTTTTATTATTTTTTTTTTGCAGATATATTGTTTGTGATAATCCTTTGGCATGTTACATCTCAGAAGTGAAAAAATACATGACTAAAATTAATATTGAATTGGATCGGTTCTGGGAAACTAAAGTACGAGATGTAATAGAAGTTGTTCCTGAAAATATGATCTATTCGGATAAAATTTTTATGGCATATATATTGGAACATAATGAAAGGTTTATTTTTAGACATCAGTGTTTATTAAAATTTCTAGTCATTTTCAGTCTGGAGAACAACTGATGCATTTTATCATTTTATTTTATTTTTGAAATCATTAATTTTAGCATCTTTTTTCCCTTACACCGAAAGATCTCGCTTACTTTTGAACTTTTATTGGAATCCCGTAAGAGAATAATGAATGAGTATATAACCCACTGGAAAAAGTATATCTTCTATCTTTCTAATTTCAAAAATTGGAAATACTTATTTCTTATGTCTTCAATTTCGATTGTGACAGTAATGCTTACGAAAAGAAGGTTTTACGAAGAATCTGAATAATTTTCTCGTTTTATAATCATTGAATATTAATAGTGCAATTTTGAAATGCGTATTTGTAGGATGTGCTTTGCCTAAGTGATATATGTGGCGTCGTTGCAGGACGATAAAAAGACAAATAAGTTACCTGAATAAATATCGAATTTTTGCTCAGAATACTGGTCAGCTTGATCGAGATCAAGAGAAACTAAGAAGGGAATGCTTGCAGTACTGGAAAATCCCGGATGTTACCAAAAAAAAACCCTACGAAACAAATGAATCATTATTTGCAGCTATCAGTCGTCTTGTCAAGGTTTAATTGTAGCGGCCTTACTCTTTCACTTAAGATTTTACTTCTGTTCAAGAAAATACCTGAACATGTATATGAAAGTACATGAAAATCATTCCCGTTAGTAATATCAGGCACCCTTAATTTTAGATTATCGATTTTAAAGAATTACAACAGAAACCACCGGCTTTCACAAAGAATGTTTTGTTATCTGGAGCAAGTCGAATGCGATATGCCGAGTTACGAATGTGCGCCATCACGGAAAAAGAGCTTCCAGTTTTATTGATCTCGACTGTGAGTCGTTTCTTTCCATTTAATATTATTTGATTTTTTCTGAAATGTTTTAGAGATTATGTGTTATCAAGAGCTTTTATCTTAAAGTGTACAAATTATTTGTAAGAAAATCGCATTAAAGTGTGTTGCAGTGAAAAGTTTTTGCATCTAAGATTTACTTAATTGTACATTATCGATATTTAAAGAATTGTAACAAAAACTGTTAGTTCCATGAAAAGTAATCAATTATTCAAGACGTCTATCTTTCCTTCAACTGAATCCTCTGTAATATCTCGCGAATATCTCGTTTTACTAATAGTTAACTGATACATACCAAATGAAGTAAAAGTTCAAGATTTTTTAATAATTATTTTCTTGCGTTTAGGAGATTTATCTTCCCGTTGACATCATTATGATTTCCATGGTGATTTCCATTGAATTTTCCATTAATAGATATCACACAATAAAAAAAAAAAATAGAGTAGAAGAGCCGAAAATTGTTTGAAACTGTTATAACTACTATGTCGTTTTTTTTTTAGCAAATGGGCACTTATTTTTATTCACCATATTCTCAGCAAGGTTTTGAAAGAGTTCCCTTCGATGTCAGTATACCGAAAGATACGGTGTTGCTTGTACAGATTACTAAAGTTTACAAAAGGGTTAGTTTTTTCTCTTTGTTCATTCATACGATGCTAACAAAAATGCCCATGCCCAAAAATTATTTGAAGTTTTTGATGTAGTTCTTATTCTTACCTTTACTTCTTTTTTCTTTCACTTCATCCATTCGTTATTCAGGGTTACCATTCGATTAATGAAAACATAAGTTCAATGTTTTGAGAAATATAAAATATTAAGAATATCTAAACTTATTTTGACTGTACAGGTGTGTATTCTCTACTCTTTTGTAATGTTTCATTACAGTTGGACGACAAGGGGAAATTGGAAGGTGAACGGGCAGCAATTCGAATTCTTGACGCGGCATTATTAAATGGTGATGATGTTTCTGCGCTTCCTTTCGATGAAAGAATGACAGCAGCTGAAAAGATGTGCAAAGCTATTAAATTTGTGTATGAAACACCTGATAGAAAAATTGCACAAGTTTTCCCTGCCAAAGTAAGTTTATTATCTGAGTGGATGCTAGGGCAATGTTTTTATGTGGAAAATTTTTCTGAATCATCTACTAGAAAATATAGCTTGGTTATTTTTTGCTAATAGTGTTGAGGTCAATACATAGCAAAAAACATTTATTGTTGTTGTGGGAAAAGGATATCCACGAATTAGAATGTTTGACCACTTTTTATTGTCCACATTGGAGAGAATAATTTTTCATAGTTATATATCGGTAATAAACCGACTTATTATTGATGCATATTGCATTCTTATCCGAAATCAAAGAATTTCAAAACTAGAGGAGCTTTGTATCATTAGAAGAACATCTTTTCTACATTTTTCTTAAAAAATTTTCTGGAGTTTATTTTTAGGTATTTATGCTTGATGAGCTACACTCTGAGATGCATCGATTTCATGTTATTCTCGCAAAAGGTGAAGAAGTTGCAGTGATTGAAGAGGGTGATGAAGTATTGCCGTCTTTTTTCTATTGTCGTGGAATGCGAATTACTTCACTTTTGATTAGTTGGTTTTTGTGTTCTTAAATTTGTGGTTAGCAATGGATGGTAAGATAATCTTGACTGTTTATTCATAATTTAGCGGTGTACAAATCAAAACCTAAATGAGCATACTCCGTCTACATAATTAGTTTATAAAGGAAATGTAAACTATTAGAATTTATTTTCAAATAATTGTTGTTTGAGTTTTGAATGCTTCGGAATTACAGGCTCAAGTTAAACAAATCTTTAGTACTGTATTGATTTTCATCCCTTATTTCTTTATTTAGACCCATGGATTATGTGCTGGTCCAGAAGTCATGGAAAACTATATGCATTCAATCCTACATCTCAGGGATCATCGGTTTTTAGTGAACAGTTCGAGAAAGCACAATGTTGTTTAAATTTCTGGAAGGCAGTTATTGCAAAGAAACAGTATCTTTTTTAGTTTATTCCAAGAATATATTGATGAGAAAAAGGAGGAAAGCTTTAGTAGATGAAAGTCAGTAGTTGTGCACGTTAGAAGTTTTGAAGTTTTTGAGATGTATTTAATGGTGATCATATCCTGTTATAGTGATATTTCTTCTGTGGAAAATTTGTGAGTGATTATTTGAAATGTTTAAGTCCACTGAATAATAGTGATGCATCGAAGAATGATTGCTATCAGTGGTTCTGGGAATGGACACATAACTTCATCGTCGGTGAAGATTATGGGCCACGAGCAGTGCTGGAAGCAGAAGAACATTCAAAAGGACTTACACTGCGATCTGTGCATGCTATCGCTCAGCAACAGAAGGACAGTGTTTCTCATAAGCATTCACTGTAACTTATTTTCTTCATTTTTTTTTTAATGGAATACATCTAAAGCATGATTGTATTAGAACGCTTTCTGAAAAGTTGTAACGTAGAGTCTTTTTATTTTATTTAAAAATACTGAAAGTCTATTTTTTGTTTACTTTTCTGTTGGAATGTTTGCAATAAATTTTAGTTAGATCTGCAACCCTGTGAAAACAATTTTTTATCATGTAATGATAATATTTTTTAAACGACAGTAATGATAATATTTTTTTAAGGACAATGTTGCTACCAGAGAACTTTAACTGCTGACTTTTTTTTCTTTTTTTTTTTTTTTGAAATTTTTGGTTTACCTTTTGTATAGTTCTTCCTGAGCAGGGTATGTCCAGTTATATTTCATGTAAGGTTTTCTTTATCGATAGCTTTCTCAGTATTCCACTGAGAATAATTCGACTCTTTCCCCATGTTTTCTGGTGTTCAGTTGATGGTGCTTACAATTTTTTGTTCCCGACTTGCCATTTTGATTTGAAACTCATTTGCGTTGTTTATTACTTCCTTCCATTATATTAATTTGCTTAATTTCTCATTACCATACCTTATGAAAATTTCTTATTGTTAATAATTGATGTCATTTAGTTTCTAAGATAATGAATCAGGATGGCTGACTAAATCCTTTATTGGATGATATAATGCAAGAAAGAGTTAATATCCTTGCATGTAGGTTAATAATAATTTAAACGACTGTTTTCGAAATTTCCAGTTGCTTTTTTCAGGTGTTTGTAAAGTTCTGTTTTTGTTATCACAACTTATTAGTACAGTGTGGAGTTTTAGTTGTGTATCTTGACTCATTTCACATTTTTTTCATGTTCTTTGTGGAAAATTTATGTATTTGCTCTCATGTTTTACTATGCTTTTACCATGCTTCCTTTGAAAAGATTCCTTTTTTTGAGTTTAATTTTTCTGTAAGTTCTACAAGACTGGTTTTTTTTTAATTTCTGTTGGGGATTGTTTCCCACAGCACTGTTTTGCATTTTATTCGAACCTCACATTTCTTTAGCCAATGTTTGGACAAAGTTATTTGAAATTACGTATGTTTAATGCTGTGAAATTAATACACTAAAACATTCTATAAGGCATTATACTACCGCTGCTAATGTAAAAACTTGTCCCCATCTCGAGAATTCGACCCAAACTTTGCCACGATTGCAACCGATCTTCTCAATCCTAATTGATGGGTCCGATTACAATAATTTTTTTGCAGCCATCGTCGAAAAGAATTATGGGAAACGTGACACTACAATGCCCAACTAGCCATGGACCGTATTCAAAGAACCCCTTAGTTAACAATTGAGACAATTGATGCCTACTCACTCAATTTCATTATCAATGAATAATATCGACCATACAACAAGAAGGAACTTTATTTCATATCTTATTAGCAAAAAAAAGAAAAAAAAAAAGAAAAAAAAAAAAGAATAAACGATCCCATCAAACACACAACCGAGAACTTTCTCGAAATTGGATTATTTTGAAAGCTATTTTAAAATGTGGCTGGGTAACTAGAGGCAAAATCAACTAGGAAACTGGCGAAAACAGTGAAACATTCCAGAGACTTCTCGGATTTAAGAATACGAGGAGTGGTGAGAAAGAGATCACCGTGAATCTGCATATACTGTATAACTGTAATAATAGGATAATCATGTAATGAAGAAAAAAAAAAAAACAAACTCGAAAACACAAAAAAGCATTGGAAGCAAAAAATGCTTTAAAATCAAATGACAGTGACTGTGCGCTAGAGAATTTGCAGCTGGAAAATATATTATTGTTTCTTAAAATTGACCACAAGAGAATTTGCTTAACTTGTTTCCACAACAATTTCCCTGAACTATGAAGCACACTGTCTTTGGGATACCATAAATAGCAACTGTAAAACAAACAAATAAAACAACCGAAAAACACACACACAAATGGAACTCTAATACGCGTTTTAATTTGGAAAGAACGATTTTGTTCTGATGGTAACCAGTGCGATGAATTTACGAAAAAAAGAAAAAACAACCAACAAAACTTAGTGCATAACAACTAGTTAAAACATCAAAAAAAAAAAAAAAAAAAAAAAAATGCACATGAACGACATAACTGGTAAAATTCCTTCCCCTTAGATCTACTAAAATCTCGAGGTTGATCCTTTAAACAAGTCCCATTATTTGATCATAATAACTCTAACGCATGTCTTAACCACTTCCATTTACTACCTGTCCTGGATGGCCCCTGCCTGAAATGAAAATATATTAGTCATATTTGATTAAAACAACTTCTGATTCTGGCAATCCAGATCAATATCATCTAAAGCTAGTGAAGAACGTGAGAACCTAATTTAAAACAAAATCCGGAGCTGATAAATTTCAACACTATGTACTTGTGATCACTTTCACCATTCTCAATGACCAAGGCCTTTTGAACACTTTCCAAACAATCTGCATGATCCTTAGTTTCACAGTTAAACTGACTTCATCTACGAAGTTCATTCTATTTCTCACAGTGATAGCTCAACTTGAAATAAGACATAATGTCTAGCATATGTTTTTGCAGAGTGCAATAAACCAACCTCCACGTCGAGGGCCACCACGTATACGACCAGAACCAATACGACGAGCATCTCGTTCTACGTTTTCTTCTTTTTCGCCTCCTTTTTCATCATCCAATGGACGACGTCGATCATCTTGATCTCCACCACCTGCAATGAGAGATTTTTAAGTATCAAGAACAAATTTTAAAAATTGAGAATTCTCAGAAGTGTCCCATCACGAATCCCATTGCTTAGAAAACTCAGAAAATGTTTGTAAAATACCCCTATTTTGACGAAAGCCACCACGAAAAGAACCACCACGTCCACGTCCTCTGTAAGGCGCACCACGTCCACCTCCAAAATTTCCTCCTTCATAGCCAGCGCGTTCAAAACGATAGCTAAAAGAAATGACGTTGAATATTTTTTGCCAAATAGACAGACCACAGAATTAATCTAAAGTCAAGTAAAGAATATCCCTCATAGAGGAAAAAAATTGTGCTTAAAATTATGACAAACCAGTTCCATTCTTACCTGCTTTACCGCCCAAATACCTATTTATATGCAAAAATTCCCCGTTTGCAACTTTAATTTCTCATATAACTCATATAATAAACAGGAAAAAGCAATACACCAAATTTTGCCAACATTCACACAAGTTTGCAAAATTTGAGATTAAAACGTGCAAATTTTCAATCCTAAATTAATCAGAAACTGCAATCAAATTTTTTCAGCTGTGCTTCATCAAATTCTCAATTACCCATTGCCATTCATTCCAGCGGGAGGAGGAGTTGACCTGGAATAGAGTTGCCGCTGCATCTCATCTACATTCAACCGCATTTCCTCCATTTCTTTCAAATGGCGCAAATGATATTCGATCAGCAGATTTGCCATGGAAATTGCGTCTTTTGTACCCGTAAAAACAAATGGCACTGGTTCATCAGGCTAAATGAAAATATTAATTTGAACAATAAATATAAGTTAATTCAGATAAACTTTCTAATTTAGAGAGAGAATAAAACAAAACAAAACAAAAAAAAAAAAAAAAACAAGAGCGATCTTACATTCTCATCAACTCTGTTTTGATCATCACCACCTTCAATCTGTACGCGTACAACACCTGATTTATCCACGATATCCTAAAGAATCAATGAACATAATACGATATCGAATAAAGTTTGAGCTTATACACTATTTTCTGTGTAGAAATCTAAAGTTACCTGAATCGTTTTACCCGATTTACCGATCACTTTGCCAACCATTCCACGTGGTACCTCGAACGATTCCACTGCATATTCCAATTGTGAACGTGCTGCAGCTGCGGCTTCAGCATTTTGGGCAAATACCTACAAGTTTTTCAGAATTTTATTAACAGACTATAACTTAGTATCACGAAAGATAGCCTGCCCAAATATTGCTATAAACTGATATAACTTATAAATCACTTGATGGTTAAGTCATTGCTAACCTTGAAAAGTACAGGTGTATGACCATCATTACTTTCCACGAGCTGTATATCTTCGACCCCATCAATGTTTCGTGCGCTTTGAATATTAGCTCCATGTGACCCTATCGCAAGACCCATTAAGTTGAAAGGTACCGTAAATTCTTCCACATGAGCCGACGTATGCATCGATGTGTTCTCTAACAAACGAGCAGCTTCCTAAATGACATTTATGCACCATAAAAAAAAAAAAAAAAAAATCGATCCTTTTCTGTTACTTTCCCTTCTCCGTATGCATAATATAAACAAATGAATTATCATCAGCACTCTTTCAACGATTCCACGAATGAATCTGTTCTGTTGTAGGAAGTTGTAGAAAGCTTTAAGCGATATTCCTTGCGCTGTTTGCACTAACAAATGATGCATGAATCACTGAAACGTATACGACACCAAACTTTACTTAATCTCACCAAAAAGCTACTAGTAATGTTTGCTGTGTAAAGAGAGGAAGAAAATTTGACAAGTTTCTCAAATAAACCTCTTGACGTTGCAAAAGTTGCATCTTCTGTCGAGAATCCTTGAAGTACATGTCAGAAAGAATCGTTGCACGCTTTACTGCTTGTTCTTCAAATGTCTAAAAACAGTGGAAGTAAACTGTCTAAAAGTCACTGGTTCAGCTGTCACAAAAATCTACCCGGTCATTTGCTAACCATACTCCATCAGTTTGCACAGCATGATACTGATCGAAAATGATTTTTTCTAAATATTATTGAGAAAATCTTATTAATGAGAAAACTTCGTTACTATCACCGTTATGTAATTAATATGGAGATAATACAGTGTTATTGGAATAGTTTAGAAACAACTGACAGAGAGAAGAAGATTTCCATTTTCCTCGTCATATTCGACAAATACACTTTTGACAGTGGCTGCGAAATCAGCATATGACTCAGGTCGTTTGAAATATGCCCGGAGATCTTCAGGTACAGTGATTTTAGCATGTTTGAACTGACTTTGTTTTAGTGGAGTACATTTGACCAGCAACGTACGTATATGTTCCAGTGAAACAATATCCATATGGTGCGGCCCTTCAACGCTTTCAATTGCCGCTAAATCCCCCTACAAATTTATCAATATGTTTATGCTATGAAGAAAAACAACTCAGTCTCAGAAAGCATTCTAACTAATGAAATCTACTGAAATTTCGTTTCAAACAGATTATTGTACACAAGTGGTAGGAATGGAACTGTGGAGAGAACATGAGGATAGAGGAATGTGTAGCGGAGATGGTAAATTGGTCAATACTGTGCGAAGTACATTTCGAAGATTCTCGACCAACGCTAGGGAATTTCAAGGAATCATTTAAAAATGCTGATACTAATTTAACGAAGCCATTCGCCCATCTTATCAGTGTTCTCAAATGACTTGTACAAATATAGCATGAACGTGATGAACAAGTATCGTCAACAGGAATGACATTTGATGAAATCAAGGAGTTATATTCAGGTTTGTTGGCGGATGAGCTCAAATCATGTCAGCTATCATTTGGCACAAATCTCTGTCAATTATTGCTCTAGTTTTTTGTTCGAACAAGTGGAAACTTGAACAATCCAATAATTTATTTCGCGATAGCAAATCAAGCAAAATAAAACTTCTACCTTTAACTCTTTGATTTTGGCTTTCTGCCAACCGAAGACAGCATCATCCTCCTGCTTCATTAGTGCTTCAACAGTATCACCCACTTTCAATGTCTCGGCTTTTGCGGAACGCGGTGGCAAGCGACAATCATCAAATTTCACCTAAATTTTATTAGAAATAAGTTTTAATCAACTCCATTTTCCTTTTCAACAAAAAACAATTTCTAAAACCCAGCAGAAAATCAGCCATTTAACAAATCCGTGAATATATAAACGAAAAAGAAGTAAACCTCCTCAGTTTTCGCATCGTTCCCATAACTCACAATGACAGTATCTGTCTTAATGGATTTTACGAAAGCCTGCAAAAAATCAAAGCCTAGAGTTATTTAAATTATTGTTAAAATTATGTGTAAAGACACTAAATCTTCTTTACACCAACTAATAAAGGACCAGCACTATCCCTTCTTCATCACAATCATTCTAATTCATCATTTTGGCAACTAGATGGCATCAATCAATTACTGACAATGTGAAATTCCTACAAGGTATGGTAATAAAAAATTGAGTAACTTAATATAATGGAAGGAAGTAATAAATAAGCGCAAATAAGTATCAAATCATCAAAGGATAAGCACTACCAAGTGAACATCAAAAAGCATGAAAAAAAAGTTGCTATTTGCTAAAAATGTATTTCTCAGCAAAAAACTCGATTAGTTTTACCATTCTAAATTCACTACATAACACTTATAGCTAATCATATAGGAATCTTTAACAAAACATAGCTAATCCTACTTTTTTTCAGGAAGAATTTTTGGAAATAACTTTTAATACCTATTTTATCAATGTAAACATTGCTCATCCTATCATAACATAATTCTCATCCTATCATAACATAATTCATCAATAAATCAACATACTAACCTTGTAAAACAATCCGTTGCCTTGTCGTACCTCAATTTCCATTTTTACTGAAATCAGCGAATTAATCTCAGCTCTTATACACGATTCTCACTCTTCTTCACTTCAATTTATTTAATTAATCAATTTGTTCTCGACCAACACCTATCAATCTGTTTAGCAGGTGGTATATCCTCCACCGTTTTTTTTTTTCCAAATCCGATAAGTCCAAATCCGGTAGAAATGCAAAAAAAACGAGCCGAAGCTCAACGACAACGATCCAACCGCTTTCTATCTGCTCTCCTCGCAGCAAATGCTCCGTTCTATCATTCGTTACGCCCTTTCAGAATGCAGACATGCAGAGTAATATGCAAACACGATAAGACACGTAAACATAAACGTATGTCAGACATAAAGAGATATGGATGGATGGTATGCATGATAACATATGAAACAGAGAGAGAGAGAGGTGCAGACAAAATGCACTTCATTCTCCGTCACTACAGCACTCAATCGATTAATGGTCGAGCCGCCAACAAATGACATCGTTTTGACACCGACCGTGTACCATCGGGAACAACCGGGAGTTTAGTCGGTTTGGGGAAATCGCGGGGGAGGTCATCTGGGGTTGGTTTACGGTGGTCTGAGTCATCATATGCCAACTATAATAGTAGTCATTAACTATCACTAATCCATTCAATTTCATAATTTGCTTCTATCTATCGTTATCAGTGCTCTTTTATTTAATTGAAATTCTGTTCATCGAAAGTGTCACCATTAATCGCAGTTTAATTAGTGTCGTCGTAAGGATGAACCGTTCTGACTACAAACACTCAAGATGATTTCATTCCCAGAAGAATGTGTATGTGGTAGATGAAATGCGTAAAATGGTTTCTGTGATATTACGCTATGTCTCAGTTGCGTAAAATTTTAGCGACGAATTTGGGATAGATCGTTTAAGTGTTGATGATGTTGAATAAAATATGGTAGTTTAAGGAATTTTGTCATCTTGATGGCGTTACCGGAATCATCTGCCTCTGTTTCGAAACTTCCATCGAAAGATTCCCTCAAAGAGAGATTCAGAATGTTGCATCAAAAACGTGTGAGTTGAAGACTGGTATTTGCCATAATAACAGAATATCAATTGAACTTTATCAAATAGTGACCAACCAGCCTTTGATGTTCAACAAAATGAATGTAAAATAATTGCATTGTCCAAAGTTTTCCAGAAAAATCAGTGTTTCATTTTTTAGCAAGAGTCTCGTAAATTAAACTATCAACAAGTGGTAGAAGAGGACCATAGGTCGAAATTGCCGAAAAATTACGATTTAAAACGAAAACGTCAAGAATGGGAGCTTAAGGAGATGGAAATGAAAAAGGTTAGATTGCTCTCCCCAGACAACAGTTTTTGTTAATAACAACAATTATATCGCTATATTAATGAGCTGTAAGGGAACGAAACGTGCAAGCTATAGAATTAACCGGAATCCGAACAGCATAGTCTATACTTCTTGCTGGTTCGTTCCGTTTCACGTGAGCTTGCACCAGAAATGTGAGAAGTTATTCTTCCTTCCTTCGGTCAGAATTTGTGCTGACAGTGTTGGCCTTGTTAATAATATCTCTTGGATACATTTTTATCGATTAATGTTTCTCTGTAGAAATTTCTTTTTAGGCTGCTGAGGAGCGAGGAGAAGATTATGAAAGATTAAAAGCTCTGAAAACCCAGGCAGATTTGATCGAACGCAAAGAGGCAATCAAGAGAAGGAAGAAGCCAGACAGAGGCTTTAGTGGTGGGTTTTTTTTTTCCTAGAATGGGAAAGTTGTAGTTTTTATTGGTAGCAGAGTTACTGGGCGATTCGCAATATCTACAAAGAAATTCATAAGCGGTGATTTTTTTCTAATATTTGTAAGACATAGAACTTAATATGTCTTTGTTTGCTAAACTGGTTGTTGAAATTTAAAGATTATTGAACTGAATGTTCCAGATTACGAAGCAATGACTTTACGTCAGTATCAAAGATTGTCTGGAAATATTAAACCTGACATAAAAGCTTATGAAAAAATGAGAGAAGTTATGTAAGTGTTTTTTCTTAGTATTATTTTGATTAAATCAAATATGAAAAAATTTATACTGTTTCTTGGTTGCGTCTCTTGTAGCAATTATCATTGGAAAATGGCGAGAGAATTGATTATAGTAGCAAAATAACGGAATCAAGAAACTGTTTCAGTAGTGATATTTAGGTATCGTTTAAAAGAATGAAAAGCGGAATTAACCATTTATTTTTCTGTTTAAAAACAACATTAAGACTTTCAGTGGTACTAACGAATTTTATCCTGGAGTAGACACACTCATTTCTGGAACTCATTATCCAACCGATGCTGCCTTAAATAGGCTAGCAGAAGATATCAAAGCACAGTAAGTGAATTTTTTTTTGTTTGTTTGTTTTTAATCTTATTCTTTCAATTGACGTTTTTAGTCTGGATGAGTTGTACGCTCTCAAATACAAGCGTACAAATGTAATATATATTATCAATGGAGTAATAAAGTTATGAAATTACACTCTTAAGATTTGTGGTAAACAGTTACATAAATGAGTTTTAACTTGTCACCGATTTGTCCAGCGTCACATACTTAGTGATGACGCAGTTTTGACCATACTTGCTGTTTGTTCTTCAGAGAAAAGAAACGCGATCAATATCATCGTCGGCGAATGTTCGATCCAGATGCACCAATCGACTATATTAATGAACGGAACCGTAAATTCAATCAAAAATTGGATCGTTTTTACGATAGGTATACAGAAGATCTTAAGAGTGATCTTGAAAGAGGAACTGCTATATGATTAAAAAGTTTTTTCAATTTCGTTAATTTAGAATTTTCTGTGATTCGGTTTTCAAAAAACAATTTGAAGCACTGCGCTTCATTTGTATCATTTGATCAAATTTGTTGCACGTCGTTTTTGCTTCTTACTAACAGAAAAAGGTTTTTTCTCCTTGTTTGTTCAAATTGGGCATAAATAATATACCTCATCTGCATCATTTTTATATTGAAATCTTAAATGCAAATTTCCGTTTATTGTGGTAGAATTCAATTATCGTTTTTTGTATCAGAGGTACAGCAAATAAATAGTGAATATATGATCTCTCTTCGTTATTCGTTATTTAGTGATTGTAATTCAATGATCGCTTTTTACTGCTTTGGTTTTTATGAAATATCGAAAAACCAAATTGAACACTGAATACAACCTAGATTTCGTCACTGGGCTGGGTTGTAAATTGCATATAGAGCTCATTGGCATATAACCAAATCATTTAGTAGGGTCAAGGAAATGTAAATTTATGATGATGTCACAAAGTTTTATCGCAAAAAGTTTGTGATTACTAAGGAAAAAATTCTTTGCTAAGTGTTTTGTTAGAATTAAGTCATAAGGAGTGTATGATTTTAATAAGATTTGAAGACTGTCTTTGAACTATGTCTGTTACAACAATGTAAGATTATTGGATGGAACTGAATGTGTTCCACACGACGTAATTGATCCAAATTCATTGTATAATCAGTAACTGCTTTTAACGATGAAGTAATTCGTTTTGCTAAATAATTTTATAAAAAATTTCTTGCAGTTATTAAATGATTAACTTTCAGTGCATCTTCACAAGCTTAAGCATCCCTAAACTCTAAGATTATTCTAGATCTTCTTTGAAAATTCAGCTTTTCTGGAAAACCTGGATGTTTTCATGATTCTTTTCGAGTATTTTCGCTTGATTTTAAGTTGCTTCTCAAGAATTTATGTTGAAATTTGTCAAACAAATATTCGTCAACTTGCATGAAACAGTTCCTTTAAATTATAATAATTAATGAGTGATAATTAACAAGAACTTGTTTTGGTCCGCGTGCTGTTTTATCTCTATCAAATATTCAAACCTGATGTTATATAGAAGTTCAACTTATGAAACTGGATATTTTGGTAATAGTTTGAGATGCAATGAATAGTCCTGTCGGGAATACATAACTTTGTAGTCCTGTTGATTTGCTGAAGTATTGGATAGATCTGCGGGATCACAGATTGCTATTTTGATCGAAGGTTTGCAATGAAATGCAAAATTTATCAGTGATATGAATTTAAGAAATGGAATTCTTCGCGATGTATAATGTGTTGCAACGCAAGTAATAAAACATTTGCGGAAGTTAGTGTTAATTATGCAAATTAACAAATCACATTACACTTATTTTCAATTTCAATAATTTGAGACTGAATTTTTTGGAACGATTTGAATCGCTGCTTACTTTTATCTTTAAGAAAAACGAAATTATTATTTAACGTTTAAAAATATTTAAAATGTAGGTAAAATAAATGAATATCGTCAATATGGCTATAGAATTGGAAGGATTCTACGGTGAAAGAAATTTTATAAGTCACACATTACACTTATTTTTACCTTGATAAAGAAAGCTTTTTGGAATGTTAGGTAATCTTCTTGAATATTTATTTATGATTAAATCTATTATCGACTGATTCCACCATGGATATTTATACTAGTTTTTCATTATTTCATTGATTTTTCAAAAAAAAAAAAAACTTTCATTCAAAAAATTATTCATTTCAATTAAATTTTATTTCATTTAAATGTTTGTGACAACATAAGAAATGTACGATTATATATGAGAAAGTTGTGCGGTAATTATGTTTTTGATAGATTTGATTGATATGATTTAAAAACTGAAAAGGAACAAGATGAAAGAAATTTGGGAATGAAATTGATGATCATATGAAGTAGAATATACATTAAAAGTTAAAATAATAAATTTATTCTCATTATCATGCAAACTATCAAAAAATTCGTTCTTTTTTTTCTTTGATTTGTTTTCTCAGAAATTTAATCAATTGAAAATTCACTTTGAGCAAAATTTTATTGAATCTTACAATCATAATCATATATCATCAGAATTTCATTTCGTTTTTATCTTTTTTTTATTCGTTTATTAATTACTGTACTGTTATCATTAAATACTTTGCTAACATTTGCAGTTTTACTTCTTCCGGTAATTTGCGCCGTATTTTTAAAGTGTACTTTTTGTGAACTTTTCACATTTTATTGAAATATGATAATGATAATGTGATAATATGGAAACAAATCAGTTAAAGAATAAATTCTTTCATATCACCGATATTATTCTTATTATTGTTTAATTGCGTTATTTTCATTATCACAGAAATTATGAAAGTAAAAATGCACTGAAACAATGAAAGTTGAAATGGATGAGTAATAAACATTGAAGCTTATGCATACAGTACTAATACATTTAATGATCTCATCAATGATCGAGATTGATTCATAAATTTGAACGAATGGTATTTTCATTATTCGATCATATCGATCATTGAAAGCTTTTAATAGAAATATACTAATCAATAGCAATCAATAATTTTTCAATTTAACTAAAAATAAGTAATAAAATTTTGCAAATTTTTTATTTTTGATTTTAATGCAACATTAGCATTTTTTAAAAGATTTTTTTTTCTTTGTGTAAATTAATTGAAATTTTTTACATATATGAAGCATTTATTTATATTATCTACGATTATAATTTCAATCATTTTTTCATTCAAATATATGAAAAACAATTTATTGATTCATTTTTAACTGTGAATTACATTCATCAAATATTTGTTTTCGCTTTTTCTTTTTTTTTTTTTTTTTTTTATTAGCATTATTTAATGGTGCAAAAAGAAAAGAATAATAGATAGGTAAATAGGAAATAGTAAACATATTTGACTATTAAACAGTGAAATTTTAATAGCAATGGAAGAATATGCAAAACTATCATCATTTTTAGTGATTCCTTCTTGCATTTCTTCCTCAAATATGTGCATTTTTTCATCCATTTCTATATTTTCATAAAGCATCTATAAAAAAAAAAAAAAAAAAAAAAAGAAAAAAATAATTTCAAATTTCAAAATTTATATAAATAATTTTTTTTTTTTTTCATTTAAAACAACTGTTAAAAAAACGAAAAATTTTTTTCAATAAAAAAAAAAAAAAAAAAGAAATATATGGAAATTTTCATAACACAAACCTATTATCCATCATCCCTCTTCTGATGCTTAATGAATTACTGAGAATTACTTAATATTAATTTTACATTTTATGAAATATGACATTTGATTAGGACTAGATGCAATGTAATACAAGTTAGAGACACATTCCCATCATTCTCACTTAAATCCATAAATAAGATTAGTTATAGCGATTAATGATCGATGACATATTTTCTGATTAATTAATCAAATCCAATCATTTGCTTCATTTCTTCAACTGTTCCTGTTGAGGAAAGATTGGATAAGACGAGAAGGACACGTTTATCCTTTTATTAAATAATTAATTAATTCTCTATTAGACTATTTCATATTATCACTAGTTATTCAAATCAATAACTTAACAATACTTACTTCAATATCATCGTCTTCATAAATCATTTCTGTAAAATTTCTCTGCACAATTGGAACCCAATAAATATTCGGCGATGTTTCATCATCTATAATACTTAATCAAATTAGATTAGTGTGTCCTTTCAAAATGAGAAAGTTTCAATTTTTGTTTGTTTTTGAAGCAGTACTTTTAATCGTAGTTCTTAAAGTTTTAATAACTTAATTGAAATCATTATTTTTTTTTTTTTTTGTTTATTTATGATAAGAAAAAGAAATTAAAATTTAGCAATTTGATATGATATATCAACTTGCCTTGCTCATCTTTGTGATATTCATGCGATGAAACTTTGATTAAGATAAATGATTGCAATAATAATAATACTGATAAGATAAAGGATGTATAGGTGGTAGTGGTAAGTGAATAATACATTTACAGATTTTTAGAAGAACGAATTTCAAAAATTGTGTTTAGAACAGTCGTCACCACAACATTCTAAAATGCAAATGTATAAAATCTTTTAAATTATTGATTTAACCAATTAAAAAAAGCAAATAAATTTCTAAATTATGACTGAGGAGAATATTTGAAAAATTAAACTAAAAATTTTAAGAATGAAAGTATCAGTATAATTTGACTCTATTTAATCAGTTTCTATCAATTAAATAACTTTATTACTCAACAAATCTGATATCTGATAGATAGGGAATCTAACTGCTCAAAATATTTTTAAAAAAAAATTTAACTGTTTGGACACTTGCTACTCATTTAAACTTTATCACTGTGTCATTATTGAAATTACTGTTTGTTTCTAGTATTAAAGTGATAACAAATTAGATTGGTTAAACACTGCGAAATCAAAATATCACTGATCAAGTATCATTATCATTTCCTGATATGTACATTTAAACACTGAGCAACTTATCATTATGGTATGCCAATGAAACTAAACAGCATAATTACAATCAGTTGATTATCACAAATTTCAAAAAATCGATTTAATTAATTTCGTCATTAAACTAAACGATTATATGTGAATCATTTGAGAAATATATGGATTTAAGGATTTAAAACTAGATTAATAAGAAAAAATGAACGATATTTATTCTTAAGATAGACCGATAATTTTTTATACATGATTGTTCCTAATTTTTCAACAAATAGTTTAATTCAGAAATGATTAGCATGGATAAAAGGCTTTAAAAGCCAAAGTCAAAAGAGTTATTTCAATCAGTTTCAATTTTAATTTGTAATAATTCTAATAATATAATAATAAATAAGACCACTTGTTTACTTCTATAATAATTAATGCTTTAAATTAAAGAAGCTTGAAAAAAGAAAAAAAAAATATTCTAAGATATGATGGATACGTTAGTTGAATAAAATAACTTTTAAATGGTTTATTTAATAATCTACAAGATTACAAACAAAAATTTTATTTGATCGGAAATTTTCAGATCAGTATGATGGATAGATTTAATAAGTAAATTTAGTAGAAATGCTAATTAGTTTAAAAAAAAAAAAAAAAAATTTCTTTCAATTTCTATGATTATTTTAAGATTGATTAAGTGTGTTTAATTGTTTACAAATAAATCTTTAAATGGTTATTAGTAACAATTAAACTTTGATGAACTTTTAATTAGTGGGAAAATAAAAAAAAAAAAAGAATGCTACAAGACTGAACACTTGCACTTTCTTTTTCTTTTTTTATTGTATATCTACGAGAAGTTGTGAAATTTCTCAAAAAGTTTGTTGAAATACAAAATGACAAAAAAAAAAAAAAAAAATACTTTCTGTGATTATTTTATGATAGTTTTAATAGAAGATTTTATCATAATTTCAATTTCAATGAATGAAATTTTAGTTACATAACAATTGCATCTCATTTCATTTCTCGCATAGCAAAACAACGTTTCGGTAAAATTTCAAACATCAGATGATATGATACTGAATGATATCAATTTTGATTAGGAAGAAAGTGTACATTGGAATGAGACAATGCTCAAAAGTTTATATAAATAGCTATAAGTGATGAAAAAGCACTTGAAATATTGAAGTATAAAGAAGTGAAATAGTTGAAATTTTCAAAAAGGAAATGAAATGAAATTTTAGCAAACTATTATTTTGAGAAAAAGAAATATACAAAATAATAAGCTAATATTGCAAATATTAGAACAAATGCTAGGAGTAGAGCAGTTTGCAAGCTGTGAGTTAAAAATGCTAATTAGCTTTAACTAATCGAAATTAGTGTAAAGTATTATAATTATTATCGAAGTGAGGAAACATTTGAGAAAACAGAAAACAGCAAAGTTGTTAATATTTGAAACAGTTTTAAAAAATTTTCACATCCATTAGCATTATTGACACTAAAGTGTTTGAAGAAAACAAAAATTCTTTTCAATTTTATTTACTCTCATAAAGTTTCAATTGTTATTGATAAATTAGTTTAAGCATATTTACAATGAGAATAAAAAAAATTTTAAGTATGAAAGATATTTAATGAAAACAAAATATCAATGAATTAAATTATGCAAATTATAATTATTTGAATTAGCTAATATTGAAAATTGACTGATATGGAAAATACTAAAATGCTAAAACAGAAATGAACGTTCGTTAATAAAGAGATTTTTATTTATAACTATCAATCAGGATTATGCACAATATAAATAAATATTTAAAAAAAAAGTTTTTTTTTTTTTTTTTTTTTTTACTATGACATTTTAAAAAAAGGAAACATATGAAAGAAACAAGTTTTTTTTTTTTTTTTTTTTAATTTTTTATTATTTTTTGCTTACTTTAATCATTATTATTATTATTATTATTATTATTTGCAAAATAAAATTTAATATTAATGTAATAAAATTAAAAATAATGTAATGAATAGAGTTAGATTTTTTCTCAAAAAGTGTTTATAAAGAAAACAAAAATAAACATTTCTGTCATTTGTTATCATTGTTACATTTCTGTGTCATTCTCGATTGGATGACTAACAGAATTTTCTTCTTATTTTAATTTCATATGTAATATTAACTGAAACTTTCATCAATGAAACTTATAAAATTATAGCATAATTTTGTTGTGTGAAATTGTTATGATAAATTTAAAAGTAAATTAAAAGTAAAAATGAATACTTTTCTGTTTACTTTATCTTTCATTACAACAAAATTTCATCTTAAACAATGAACGCATCTAATATGTCCGCCTCAAATCAATACAATATATTTTCTAGTCAAAAATTTTTTCATCATTTCATACGTTTAAAAGTACTTTACGATGCTATCAAAATCCTTTGGGAGTTTGTTTGAGAAGAGAAAAATTTTCAAAATATAAATTGAACAAAGAATATTTGACAAATTGAAATGTCAATCACAATTGCTTCCAACTTCCTGTCATCTGTATAATATTTCGGAGGATCTAAGATAAATTGAACACAATAATTACTTTGTGTTAAATTTAAAGCATACAAGAATTATTATTTAAGAAAAATATATTGAATTAAAATTGTTTTCAAATACATTTTTCATATTTTTAAATAATACTTTTTAATACTACAAAAATATTTGCAACATTATCCGCATATAAGAATGAAAACTAATCAAAATGATTTCAAATGACGAAAATTATTTGAGTAAAAACTGGTAAAAAGGATAACTTCGTGTAATCATTCGCACCAATTAGTTGCATTTTTTAACAAATATTTGATAAAGTATAAAATATACTTTTATGCCATCTAACTTTGTTCCGAAAAAGGGGACAGTTCTGGTATTGAATAATTTCAATTAAAGGAGTTGCCAAATAGAAATTAAAATAAATTGAGAATAAAATTTCACTGTAAAAAAGGTTGAAGTTCACAGTTATAGTCAATCAAATAAATTTATGCTTTAGCATTATCACCATTTGATAACAAGAAGTGATAACATTTTACCGATAGTTATTTAGCATAAATATACTACAACTTCAATAAACATTTCAATCAAGAAAAATCTTTAATCCGAATACTTAAATAACACATTTTTGAAGATCCATGAAAGCTTATCTTTCCCACACTCCCACTAATCTCTATATCATACAAAATGCTAAAATAGATACAATAGTATATATTAGTCAAAACTGCAAAGGATATTATTGAGGATGCTTTCATGAAGTACAATCAAATCACTAGCTAAACTTTTATCATTCTATTTTTCTAAAGCTATAATTGGTTTTCGAATTTTGTGCAAAAAAAAAAAAAAAAAAATCAGAGTTCTTTTTTTTTTTGTGAATTCTTTGCATTCATCGTTCTATTATTTGTTTATTTATTTTTTGTAGAAAATAGTGTCACTGAAAATTGAAGATTGGCAATATGAAGAACTAACGAGAAATTTGTTAGTATACAACAAAAACTATGAGAGCACTTTACAAAAACTAAAATAGATCGTCAATATGATATTACGAATTTAAATGTTTATTTAAATTGATGTAGTAGAGTTAAGATTGAATGAAATTTTGATTTTTAGTAAGAAAAAATTTAAAGTTATAACTGATTCAATTCATTACCATATAATTTAATACTACTGTTTAATTGCAAACTACTCCATACAGTAACTTCGTTTGGGTTACCGTATAATTACCATTACTGTAATGGACATTGTACAAGCTAAGTACTTGGATTATTAATATTTTATGGATAGATCATTTTAAAATAGCAAGCAGAATAAGGAGACAGAGGCAAATATCTATTTCTATTTGTTGATCTTTCTTTTCTTTGACTTCTTAATTTTTTTCTTCATGATTTTTGATTTTCTGATTTCCAGTCCTTCGTTTCCTTTCCTTTTTAATACTAAATTTTGATTAATTTAATAAACTTTTTTTTTTTTTTTTTGACTGATTGATTAGTAATTTTATGTTCTTATGCTAAGATAAAAATACTGAAGAAAGATTTAAAAAGTGAAATTTGAAATTTATTTATCAGCTAATCATTTAAAAGAATTTTCTAATGAAATTCCAAATGCAAATATATAGTAATGAAGAAAAATGTTATTAATGAAGTCAATTAAACACTAATTGGAAATTTTAAATTTTAGTTAAGATCCATTTAGGCATTATCATTTGTAAAATAAATCAAGACATACCTGATGGTTGTAATGAATCTCCTAACTTCGGCGAATAAGTTACAGGTGTAGTGATAAGCACTGGAGCTGTTATACCAGCATTCTGTTCGATTCGTCGTGCTACCTGCAATTAAAATTACATTTTGTCATTTTCAAAAGGAAGGTATGTATGATTTTAAAAGTGAATATGAATGAACAAACTTGTCCCATATTAGCTCTCATATCTGGATTCAGTTGCCAACAATAATTATGTACGACTTCTACAATCCATGGTGGTGCTTCTGGTGGAAATGGCATTTTGTATCCATTTATAACCTGTGTCAAATTCATGTGTAAGCATTTTAGGAAGATAACACATTCAAAACTTAATTTAGTTAATTTTAATGAAATCATAGAATTCATTGATGAAATTCATCCTTCTATTGATATATTTAAATGTTGAGAAGAAGTATATTTCAAGGGACAAAATTCGTTCAAAGTAATTTGAAAAGCATTTGATTTTGAGTGAATTTATGTCAAGACGATTTGATTTAATTAATTAAGTGTTCTATGATTTTAAATATTTTTATAATAGTCAGTGTATGTGTTCAGGAAATTCAGAATCTTTGATATTTAAAATGAAAAAAATTAATTTTTAATTTAGCAAAATTTATTATACTTTTTCTTTCACTTGTGCATTTGTCATTCCTGGATATGGTTCTGCTGCATTTGCAAAAATTTCCCATACCATAACACCGTAACTCCATACATCCGTTTTAGAAGTGTAAACTAATCGTTGGATTGTTTCTGGTGCAAGCCATTTGATTGGTACTCGTCTTGCTTTTGTCATATGATATTCGTCACCTTCACGTGACAAACCAAAATCCGATATTTTCACATGCAACAGAAATGACCTTTTCATGAACTGATTGTGTTTTGTGGAAGAAAGTTTTGATATCTATCAAATGATTATGACAAACAAAAAGCAATTAAAGTAACAGAGAAGAAGTAAATACAGACCTAATTAATCGATAGAAATTTAATTAATAAATTAACAGTCGATAGTGTGTGGATATATATATTTTTTTTAAAAAAAAAAAAAACCGTTTGTTTTTCGTATTGAATTATTGAAAATTGAAATCTTATTTTAGATATGAAAAGAAAATTGAAATCTTATTTTAGATATGATATGAAAAGAATAATTTAAACAAATTTTTGCTTAACTTTTTATTTAAAATTCAAATATTTTTTAAGAATTAATCCAGTTTTGATTAATTTAATGTCAAATTTTGAAAATTCACTCTTACATAAATATATTCAACTTAACTTTGTTTAGTTCAGTAAATAAATAAATAAACTAACTATTCCAGTACGTGTAAGTAAACAATTCCTAGCAGCAATATCACGATGAATACAATTTTTTGAATGTAAATATTCTACACCCCAAGCACCACCAGCAACCATTTTTTCAACTTTATCTTTCACTGAAACTCGATTTTTCTTCAAAAAATCATCCAATGCACCACCATCCACCTGTAAATCTTGAAATATTAATTAATTTTTTTTTTTTTTTTTTGAATGTTAAAAAGGTAAAATAATTTAATGAAAACTAATTTACGTTAGCACTTTAATAATAAGAAATCAAACAAATGTTTAAATGAAATATAATAATATACATGTATACGTCAGTTCAGAATTAACTTAAGTGTATATGACGTGTGACGCAACTTTAAATATATATGGCACAGTTCACATATATAGGACGCAATTTTTAAGGCATTTCGCCGAATAATTGAAGAAATCAACAATCAAAAATATAAAATTATATGCACACGTAAATTGTAAATGCATACGTAAAACATAGTAGGTCAAGGCAACGATTCTATTTTATTATATTAAAGAATACTCACTAATTCCATAACAATAAGTAATGGATCATGTTCAACGCATACGCCATACATACGTATGACGTTTGGATGCTCATAATTACGCATTAGACGAGCTTCCTTCATCATTTCTTTTATTTTTTCTTTAGACGTTTCTGCTGTTTTAGCCTTAAAAAAAAAAAAAAAAAGAAAAAAAACCTAAAAATTCAAATTTATTCGTTGTTTATTGTAAATATCTCTAATGATAATAGATAATTATATTTCATATTATCAAATAGTCTAACAATTTTATCAATGATCAATGATAATCAAACCAATTTAATGGCCACTTCAATCACTCTTCCTGTTGGAAGTTTATATTTGCCAGAAAACACTTCACCAAATTCACCTTCACCAATTTTGTTTTCGATTATAACTGTTTCATGTCGTAATTCCCATGGTGGTCGAGTTATTGCTCGTTTCAAAACCGCCTTTGGTACCTAAAAAAGTTAATTTACTAGAAAATAATGCTCGAAAAATGATAATTTTTAGCTAAAAAAAGTGGAATTAAATTACTTATAACCATGTCTCGAGCAAATCTAGCAAATATTTTAAAGTTAGCAGTTAAGAGAGATTATTAAGTTAATATTTAAGATTGCATTTAAATTAGTATTATAACGAAACATTGTAAACAATAACCAAAATCTCCAAATTGAATTTTATTTCTATGTTAATGATATAAATAAAGTAATAGAATTAATTTGGTCCAAAGAAAAAAAAAAAATTTTTGTTGCAGGAAAATCGCCATATTATTTAATATATATCATTTCATTAAATAATTCTTTTGGCATCTAAGACAAGAATTTTTCACTTATACAAGAAAAATACTACGTATTTTCTAAACTTATAAGCTCAACTTGGAGATTTCTTTTTAAGGATTGGAATTAAATGTTAACTATAATTCATATCTAAGTTATTAACGTAATTTTAACTTAAAAAAAGTTTACAACGATTGAGGATAAGTTAGATTTAAAGTATAATATTACCGTGCTAAGCACCGGTTCACCACATTTTTGATAAAATTGTATGAGCTCTGGTACGCTATCAAAACTTGCGCGAGCATCGGTCACGTATTTCCCGTATGCATTTTGTTGTACCACTATATGTCTTAACTGAATTTCAGCATTTTTTAGTTTACTTTTCATTTTCTTCCGCTTTTTATGATTAGCAATAGCTCTTTCAATTCATTTAATTCAAAAAGAACTGTTTTATTTCCAACAATTAGCAGCGCTAAGATATCCGACGAAAAATATTAGATTGCAGTTGATGGTTCTGTAGAATTGTAAATGATGCTAATGTGATATAGCATAATACTACGAAAAGTTTAAATTAGTATACCGAAATGATAAGAAAAGATTATCATTAATGTAGAAAAATTATCAATTAGCAAATTTTATAAGAAATTTATCCTTTAGTCTATTCTTATTTTATTTTATGGAAAAACTTCATAATTTATATTATAAATAATTATGTTATTACAACTCCGATAAATTATATTACTTTACTTTCTGAAATCGATCTAAAAAGTTTTCTCAATTATAACTCATAGTGGAAATTTCCATAAATACGGCTATAAAATATAAAATGCAAATTTATGCAAATTCTTAGGATAAATAATCGACAGAAACACATACATACATACATAAACACACACACACACCAAGACTTCTCGGCTTGTTAGCTGTAAGTTAAATTATGAGTTTGATTACATTTCTTCAATTAATGCGTTAAAGGGATAAATTTTGACTTTTTTTTTCAAGATAGAAAAAGTAATCATAGAAAACAAAAGATTCAATTGATTGTCAACACTTCAATTTGTGGTAATTTTCAAGAAAACATATCGCCAGAGATTATAATATGCTTACAATTGCACCCCTTTTCTCCACCAAAATAGAAATAATGACTTGTCGTGGTTGATTCGGTGCTGTTTCACTTGATCGTACCAAAAAATCGCCTTCATTGATTAGCAGATGTGGTAAATCTTCGCGTGGTAACAAACCGTGGTAATAATTTTCGTCCTCCAAATTCCCACCACCCATTGTTGTTATTCATAAAATTTGCCAATTTTCTCAAAAAAAAAGAAAAGAAAAAAAAGAGAGGTTCACAATGAAATCCAACATAGACATTATCTTTTATGGTCTCTCAATCCTAGAACTCTTCCCAGATTTCAATTCATCACTTTGCATAACCTCTTAAGTCTCTGAAGTTTGTTAAGGCTTGCTGAAATAAGAATCAAGAACTTCCGAGAGCTTTGAACATATATCTTTTCATTATTCAACATTCGATAATTTACAATATTCAGCATCGAAATTTCTTCCGGCACTGCATTTTCAAATCAAATGTTTCGAGTTCATACAAATTCATAGCTACCTTTTATAATTGCGCAGAAAACTTCGAAACTCAACAAGTTTATGAACCGACGTATCGTGACTTCTATATAAACAAAATGAACAAAATGAGGAAATCTCAACATTTTTAACATTATTTATTTTAAGAGAAATACTTGCATAAGTAGGAAAACTTAAATTAGAAGATTAGTGGATTCGACTTCTATATAAAATCTTATAATTCAACTTTCATGGTATGACTTTTGAACAATTTCTTTTATTTCTTTTTGATAGTAGTAAATTACGTTTCACTTTCAAGTATTGGTTTTAAAAACTTCCAGAAAATCCTGCAAACTTGTCCCTCTGCGTATCGGTGTTTGACTAGCCAGAACACGTTGCAATTTCGATGCCAGCTTTCGTCGACGTCCAGAAGATGAAATTTTCCTTTCCATTACACTGAAAGAGATATTTGACGCAACACTTTTAAGAGTTGTGATCGAAAAGAAAACTTCGAACAAAATTAGCAAGAAAGTAAACTTTCTGTTTTTCTGCAAGATATCGTGGTGTGAAAATGTGTTGGACAGAACTGGCTGGTCAAAATGAACAAGTTGAAGTGATGTATGGCCACATATATCACAAAAATATATCGCAATATGTGAGAGAGTGTACACAGCAGAAAAAACATATTTGATTATTAATTGTATATTGAAACATCTCATTCATAAAAATATGTTGGCATTGATGAGCAATCCAAGAAAGGAATCTCCTGAATTAGGTCACTGTTGCAAATTATTGTCATCCCCATAATCGCTACTGTAATGTGGTGAAGATGCTAACACTATATGTAATGAGTAAACACTTTTACTTAAATATTTCTCTCCCCTTCAACTATTCGCTGTTTGAAAATTTTAATGTCCTAATAAATACAGCTAATTTATGGGCATATGTGTTGCACAGCGTCATGAAAATTTAGTTCAGTAAAAGAAAAAAAAAAAAAAAAAAAAACACAGCTACAAATGATAAAAACTTTAAATTAATTCAGTCTCAACAAATTTTAGATTTCCAGTTAACTTTAACGAACATTTGTTCGTGTATTTTTGCACAATGTAATAGTTATACCTCGATGAAAATACATCCGTGTTTTAAAGAACTAAAGATGAATTAAAACGAAAGAAAAACTGGAAACATGAAACCAACTGCCTGGAAATTGGAGTTTCTCGAAATGAAGTTCTTGGTGTAGAAAAAGTAGATTGTACTGAAGATCTTCGTGATTCTTCTCTCAAACTTTGATCAAAAGATGTATTTATATCTCTTCTCTCACATTCTTTAATTGTCAATCTTTCATGAAAGGCGCCACCTTTCATTTCAGCTCCACATCCTTTGCAAACCACTATCAACTGAGACCTAAATTAATAAACATTCGAAAGAGTTAAAAATCATTTTTTTCTATGTAAATTGAACTTGGATTAGCTTAGCGATAATCTAGTTCATATGATATCAGAAATGGAAACACAAATGCTAAGGAAAACTAACTTTTTGAAATAGTTTTTTAATTTTCTAGTGCACAAATACTATTTGAAGATAAGTTTAAAAGTAAGGGAAGCAAAAGATATGCTGCTTGATAGTTTTTTTTTTTTTTTTTTTTAGTATGTAGAAAGGTTAACGCCTATATGCACTGAAATATAAGAGAAGTTGCCGCTAATGAAAACAATAAACAACAGTATCGATCCTCACTAAATGAAAGGATCGAATGAGAGAATTCAATTTCGAATTCACATATAAGCTAATCATTATTGGTTATACCGCGTTTTATGCAGTATTTGCTAAAATTTTAACCTCTTATATTTTCTCCATTTGCTTTTTCTCACTTTTCTTTTATGCACTGACAATCTGAATGAAACAGTCTTTGTAGAAGTCAAATCCAAATTACATCGAAAGCAATGACACAGTTTCTTCTTATCTTCGAATCCCGAATCCTACAACTGGTAGGAAATTGCCATAATTATCGTGCACCACTTGAACAATCCCGTTTGATGGAAAAAGTTCATCAATCAAGAGAATGGAAAGTTAGAAAATAAAATTGGCAGAAAGAATGTCTTTGAAATCGATTAAATTGTCTATTCCTATAAAAAATGAAGAAGCATTTAACATCTTAAACATAATGTAAAACTGTTACTTTCAATGCTTGTGATGCATTTCTCGTCAATTCTGCTGCAAATGGTGCTGGAATACCAAGTTCAATGCACTTTTTAGCATATTTCTGGAAATGGTGCACCATGCGATAGACGTGCTGTCCGGATTTGGTAGCTGTTTCCATAATATCGCTTCTTCTCTCCATTTCTGCTAATCTTAAATAACCAAATTATATCCTCATAAATTGTAAAGGTTAAAAATATCAGGACAGGACTTAAGATTAATCTTCGTCCATGAATCTCACTTTCAACAACTTAACCAACTTTTATGAATCACAACCTTTTTAACATGAGTTAATGTTTGATAATGTCTGTAGTTGTTGGTAACAGAAGATATAATGCCACGTAAGATCCACTTTGCTCTTGCATTTTTTAAGTCTATAATATTACGTGTAATTATATTGCGCACTCATTCGGATAAGTATACAACTCACACGTCCATATTTCGATACGTCATAACACTTACCCGTATATAAATGTTATTTATTAGTAGGTTCCAATCGATTTGTTTCCGCAATAATATTACAATTTCACTGGAATTTCAAGCCATATGAGTTCCCCACAAGCTTTATGAGCGGTAAACTCACTAACACACTGTTACGAATATGAATGTAATAGTGAGAAATCATGTCGCAATGTCAATGATATACTTTTCAATAGTCTTCGATAAATTCACTTATATGGTACACAACAAAAATTCAACAACAAGGTTTATTCAAACCGACCAAAAAAGAACATGATGACAATACTGATTAACAGACGTCCCACAAACCTGTAGATGATAAACAAAAGCTAAATTTCCAATCATGAACAAGGCCGTTTTCACTTGATATTTAATAAAGAAGCATTGAGTAACCATATGACATAAAAAATTGAATTTTTGAATAGCCGAACTAAATGAAATAATCCAGCCTTAACTGAAAATGAAGACATATTCGTATGGCTCACAAAAACGAGTGACAATGAAGCAATTCATGAAAAATTAACTTGAACATTAAAAGCAAAAATTGGATATAAACAGCTATCCAACAGCAGTTCTAAGTGATTATTTTCAACTGTTTTCGGTCATTTTAGCTAAAAGTCATTATAAATTTTAGCAAAGATGGAGAGTAAATTGGGAGTGATGCCAAAGGGAAGACTACAAAACTACAAATAATGCGTCTTATAACTCATATTCGGGAGTAATCCAAAAGAAGCAAATTGTTCATTGGATTTGTCCATATTCTTTTTTTTTTACAGAGAATCAATTAAAAAAGAAAAAAAACAAAAGTATGAAAATAAAAAAAAAAAAAAAAAAAGAAAAACCAAAAAAATCTGGATAAATATCCCGTTAAAATTATGTTTTTTAAAATGTTTGACAAATCGCAAAAGTCCGGGAAAAAGACAATTGAACATGACCCATTAAAGCGGTGTGACCACTTGCAATTGCTTAAAAATTGCAACACAAAACCTAACGGTAACCTACAGTGGTCTTATCTATTCTATGAATTCCAACCGCTGCAAATAAGAGACACCGCAATAGAGAATAGCAGTGAGCATAAAATGGGAGAATTTTACTGAGGAAAAAGACAATAAACCTGAGTGGGGCAGGGTGTCGTGTAAGAGATGCTAAGTAATCTTTTTTTAAAAAAAATGAAGCTGAAAAGTTAAAATAAAGGAAATAAGTCGACGATTTCTTCCTTCACGGATTTTGACTTTTCGAAGATGCCAGCACCGATGCTGCCTCCGAAACTTTCGACTGTAATAGTTCCTCATTCTCTAGCATCATCAGTAACTCCGAATTATCCATTTCAAGCATCATTCCTGTTATTTTTCCAACATCAGGGCCCTGATAGATGCGCTCAATCAGCGGATAAATACGCTCACCAAGCATTTGTTTTTGTTCCTGTAAGCAGGCTTTATAATTGTTCTGTAATCAGTATAATGAAAAAGAAAAAACTGTTCTATTCCTTCGTCTCCTTTCTTACTGATTTTGTTTCGTTCGTCACCACATTTGGAATTTCATTGATTTCAGATTTAGTTCGTTACAAAAAATATCGAAATCAAACCTGTGGAAGAGCCTGTGCAAGCATGTGAGCGGTCAGTGGTTCTTGACCCTGGATGACGATGCTGTTCTGCTGAGACTGTACCTGACCTGGACGTCCAGTAATGGCACTATACGATGAATACATCATTTGTCCCTGGTTAGGTTTTCCCGGTTGTGTTTGTCGTCCTCCCTAAAGGTATTCAAATATCCAGTACTCAGGAAAATACAATGAGTCAAGACTGACTCTATAATTAAAAAACTAATTCGGTGGTGAAATAGATATAACAAAAACGCACCATCTGTTGCGAACGAGTACCTTGATTTTGAACCATAGCACTACCGGCAGTCAAACGTTGCGCCTGCGGACCACCACGTGTAACACCAGTCTGCCCTGGTCCATATTGACCCTGCTGAGCTCGCATAGCCACTGCAGCAGAGGAAGCTGTTGGACGTGTACCGCCTCTGCCAGCCTGCCCGTACCCACCACTTTGTAC